AAAATTACTGTTTATTAATAGTTAGTAAAGTATATGTTAAGTCATGCATAATAAGGCATTATTATGTTTTTTATAGGTAATAATAAACAGCTAATTAATATACTCGTAATATGCATGCAATTAAGCAACTAGCTAATAGTGAGAAGTGGACTTCAAACTAAAGTGTTATTGTACTTTTAAATACGCTACTCAAGTAAAAAAAACTCTTGTCCGTCTTCCTCTCCAGGTCGTATCGACCGTAAGATCGAGTTCCCGTTACCAGATGAGAAAACCAAAAGAAGGATTTTCCAGATTCACACCAGCAGAATGACTGTGGCCACCGATGTGAATCTGGACGACCTCATCCTGGCCAAAGACGACCTTTCAGGAGCCGATATTAAAGTATGGTGATGTGTTTGTCAGGGGTTTAGTTCATTTTAAAGTGTTGCAGAAAGCTCTGCTGCCCTCTTGTGTTGTGTTTTCATATTTTCAGGACGCAGATGACTTGTTCATTAGATCTCATCTCTTGATTTCCTGTCTCTTCAGGCCATCTGTACAGAAGCAGGGCTCATGGCCCTCAGAGAGCGCAGGATGAAGGTCACCAACGAGGACTTCAAGAAGTCGAAAGAAAACGTGTTGTATAAGAAGCAGGAGGGCACCCCCGAAGGCCTCTATCTGTAATCTTCCTCCAGTTTTTATTTCTATGTGAATATGTGAGTGTGACACATTTGGCTATAACATGCGCATGTTTTTGACTGACGATTTGTTATTCGTTCATGTGATCAGAAAATAAATGCTAGAGCTGGATGAGAGAGTTGTTAACGGTTTTATATGTGAATATATCGTTAAATGAAGTTTATTCATGTGTATTTTCAGCATCATGACATTACTCCAGTCTTCAGTGTCACATGATCCTTCAGAAATCAGTCTAATATGATGATTCGATGCTCAAATATGATCAATTATTATTTTTTCTCAATTATTAATAATAGGTATTATTATTGTTAATAATAATATTGTAAGCAATTTATTGCATCCATGTTGAATAAATTGATTTTTTTTTTATCTTTCTTACCCCAAATTTTGAATGGTATTGTATCACGGTTTCTACAAAAATATGAATCAGTACAACTGCTTTCAATATTGATAATAATCAGAAATGTTTCTTGTGCATCAAATCATAATATTAGACTGATTTCTGAAGGATCATGTGACACTGAAGACTGGAGTAATGATGCTGAAAATGCAGCTTTGCTCACAGGAATAAGTTACATTTTAAAATGTGTATTAAAACAGTTATTGTAAATTTACAACTTTTTTAAGTATCAGGTTATGTCATGGGCACAAAATGTCCCCACAAAGATGGCAATATCTGAAATCCTTGTCCTTGTGGGAACATTTTTTTGGTCCTCTTGAGGAAAACGGCTTATAAATCACTCTGAGGGAAAATGTACAAATGCAGAAAGTTTTCCGTGATGGGTGGGGTTAGTGTAAGGGGATAGATTAGACAGTTTGTACAGTTTAATAACCACTATGGCTTTGGAAAGAAACTATCAATCTGTTGCCTGTAACGTCCTAGTTTTTCATTCATTTGAATGTTCTTGGGTTTCGATTTCAAGGAATTTTACTGAAAATCTGATTCTCATGAACTTCATTATCTTAATCAGAAAGTCATAGTAAGAGCCTGCAGAGAAAGCATATCCTCAGAGAGAGGAGCGATTAATTTCCCTTCCACAGAGGTTCTGCTAATTATTAGACGAAAGGACCAGCGTCTTTTCTCCAGCTTGACTCTGCAGAGACTGCCATAATTAATGCAGCGTTTTTAGATTGTTCTCGTCTCAATCTCAGTTCTCCGTTCCCCAATCTCTCACTGGGTGTGCTGCAGCTCTTATTTGTGCACGTTATCTCTAAATACATTAATATTTAATATCACGGCAGACGTTCACCTTATTAGGATTGCTACAGTATTTATAAAATGCTTTAAATCCACTAGGAAGTTTTTCCTCTTTTCAGTCCTGTCTTGAAGACGTCATTCGTATTGAAGAGTGTGATGAAAATGCTTCGCTTGATGTAAAGGAGCGACTAATGAAAATGTCCAGTCAGCAGAAAGCGGTCAGTCTGCGGCCCTTCACGGGATCAGTGCTGCATTCTCCTTAAATCATTGGAGACTAGCTCACGTGGACCGAAAGCTGCACGTAGGACCCTTGGATGTGTGTGTCAGTCACAGAGGCAAAGCTTCTACAACTCGATGTACAGTCCAGGAACCCGGTTCATTAGAGATCCTCCACCCTGAGGACACTAGGTGTCGCATTTGCCCATTTTAATAGAACACACTCTTCTTGGCAAGAGGTAACACACACACACACACATATACAGTATATATATATATATATATATATATATATATATATATATGTGTATATATATATGTGTGTGTGTATATATATATGTGTGTGTATATATGTGTGTGTGTGTGTGTGTGTGTGTGTGTGTGTGTGTGTGTGTGTGTGCGTGTGTGTGTGTGTGTGTGTGTGACCTAGGCCTATTTATTTGTTACTTTCTTGTAAAATACTTTTTTCTCAAAAAAATGCAAGATATTTTATTTAAAAAAATATTGGTCTGAACTCAACCCTACTCAAATATTAGTCTGATAATTGGTACCCTACTTTTTCATACATATTTTTGGTGCATATTATAGTCAGGGAAGGTAGTTTCAAGGTTAACAACTCACTTTTTTTTTTTAGCTTTTTTTTTTATTTAAATCCCTGCAAGATATTTTATTTAAAAAAATATTGGTCTGAACTCAACCCTACTCAAATATTAGTCTGATAATTGGTACCCTACTTTTTCATACATATTTTTGGTGCATATTATAGTCAGGGAAGGTAGTTTCAAGGTTAACAACTCACTTTTTTTTTTTAGCTTTTTTTTTTATTTAAATCCCTAAGTCTATCCAATGTACTTGTTTTATTGCTGCCATAAATGGTATGGTCTACTCTCCTCAACTACACAAGGAGCAGCGATCATTTTGAGCAAAAAAAACAAAAACAAAAAAAAAAGAATATCTCTATGCATTTCTCACTGTTTCGGGGTTGTAAACTTTTAATAAAATATGTCAATGATTTGAAGGAGTTACACCGCACTCACGATCATCAAGGTGCCAGACAAACAACACTAAAGATCTCAAAAAATAAATAAACTGTCCGCACACTTAAATCCTTTACGCAAATTTAATCACCAAAAATTAAATATAGTAAAATATAGTAAATATATACTTACCAAAATCATGACAACTCATGATTTTGTTCTAAATAGAATATTTTATGTTAATGTGTCCCTTTAAACTTTGACACGCATCCTATGTCAGACATGGCAGCCACATTAGCAGCAGAAAGAGTTATTATTTTAGGGGACAAAAATAGGGAAACAATTAAAAAAGGCATTTCTTGCTGTTTACCACCTGACATGTTTAGGACAACAGGAAATTAAAAGTTATTTAATGCCTGAGGTGGGAAAATATGATTTTGTGTAGGTGTGATATTTGCCAAATGATGTGAGGTATTTAGAAAATGAATACTATGTTGTTTTTAACCACATTAGGATGTGGTTACTTTGTTGTTGAGAGGGCATACCAATAAAACAGTGTGTGTGCTTTTTGCTGCTAAATATTAGTGAAAACTGTGACACTTTCTTTAAGATTATTTGATAAATTAAAATTTAAAAAGAACAACATTTATTGAAATGTTCTAACGTTGTAAATTAAACTGTCGCTTTTGTTAAATGCATTGCGTTCTTGCTGAAAAAAAAAACATTTTATTTTACTTATCTATGATAAGTAGTTGTCTACTACAAGATTAATTCTACATTTCACAAAACTGTTGATTGGAGTTCTACATGTGATTTACTCATTGTTTGTGCATTAGCTAATAGAAAGTGTTGAACAGTTAAGTAAAACCTGATGCACTTCCTCCTTTTCTTCCTCTTTTTTAAAGAGAATGTACTCCAATGTGGTGCAGTACAAGCAAACGTAGCCAAAAAATCTCCTTCAATACTACTAATAAGCAAAATTCTAAGAAGTTTTGGATGGGATTTCTATTATACACCGTTGCCTGGTGCATTGCAGATCCAGGGCGGCCAATAATGCCCCCCTTAACATTGTGTATAATATTGCAGGTCCGCGTCAACCAATCAGGTGCTCCGTCACAAACTGACACCGTAAATACTCGAGCGGAGGGAAATCCACGCTGTCCTTCCGCCTGGAGAAACTAGTACCACACATGATTTGATTCTGTACTTCATAAATGCAGCAAGATTAGCGTTTATTATCTAATAATGGCATTCACTTTAATAAGATTCTCCAAAACAACAGAATCGTCTCTTCTATTACATACACATAAGCATTAATTAACTCCGATGCTACAATTGTAGTCAGTAGAAAAGGTTTCAACAGTTACGAACATCCTTCAACAATTTAAACAAGGAGCGGTATTGCTTTACTATGCAGCATTATTTTGCTAAAATACTTTTTTTTAAATCATAATAACTCATTTAAGTTCATATTTGAGTCATGTGTCCTGGAGGGTAAAAAAAAGCCCCATCTCAAACCAGTCTTCCAGTCAACTCAAGCCAGCTGAAATGCCCAAAACCCCTTTAAATACAGCAAACGCTTTTCTTTTGGTGACAAATGTAAAATCAGGAGACCTACATTAATTATTACTGCCTCAAACTGGACAATTCATTAATCCATGAGCAAGTTTTTGTCAATGAGTATGATTGAGTGTGAATTCTTCAACAGTTATTCATTTACTCGCATTCTTTAAAATAAGGAGCTGGACTTGTAAATAGTCTCCACAAGCTTCAATGAATAATATATTTCAGCAGGACAGAAAGAAAACGCTGTTCTGTTCGCTGCATCACCGGCGTGCTTCGGTCGGTCCGCCTGCGCTGTAACGGCGCGTGTCATTGGCTGAGCGGGAAAGGCAGGGCCGCTCCGCGCGCACTGAGTCAGGAAGTGAGTGGCGGATGAATACATGTGCGCTTCTTCTCGCCGAGTGACTGAGTCCACACAGCAGCCGGAGCCGCAGCAGTGCACGCGCATCCCGGAGAGAGAGCGAGAGATATAGAGAGATTGATAGTGAGAGAGACCTGCTGCGTTTAGTTTAGTCTGGAGATTATCATCATCACCAATTCCCTACAAACATGGTACGTGATCTTTAATACCATACTATATTTGATGCAGTATCTCTAACTGTCTGTCCGCACCTAACTAACCTCAAAACAAGCTTTTAATTAAAGCATTAGTTTGTAGCCTATGCAACTTTCCGAGATAATTTACTATAACGACGAGCTCATTTTAAGCATTTGCGCGTTGTTATATCAGTTTAGTGATGGATCGGTCAGTGAAGCCTGAAACAACTGCGCAATTCTTACATCCTTTATCTTACATACGGGCTATACACATCAAATGATGCGGAATACATGCCATGTATTATAATTGTTGTATTATATCCTAAAATAAGATGATTTAGATCAACACGACAGCACATTGAAACATGTAGTTGTGATATTTATTAGACAGACTGCTGGTCAGTGTTTTAGGGGTCGAGGGTCAGTAGGTTGGGTTGATGAGGATGTTTATGCTCATCTGCTTATGTTTATGTGAAATATGATGGATGGGACATGATGAAGACGATTGTAGATGTGTCTCAGATGAGGATGTGTAGGACGTTGCATCATCTATCTCCCTGTATACCCCCTCTAAAGACTGAATTACAACAGCCTGCTCAGTATTTCCCATCTAAAACCACTTTACTGACATTTAAAGGCCTCACTAATGACAGGCAGTTGTATTTTAACCAAACCCCAGTGTTGCGTGGACTAAAAGGGTAGACTTATGGTTATTGGCGCCCAGTTTCCTGTATTTTTTCCACTGTAGCTTATGCAAATAAAAGGTGTGTCGTTGTGAAATGTCTGTCCTGTAGCCTTTTTGTTTGTTTGTTTATTGAATCTGAGAAGTATTGTTTGATATTATTCCACGTGTGATGTAAATTTTGTGGTGCATCCTAGTAACCACAACCTATTTTTAATTAATTTATTTATTTCTCTTTAGAAAATTCTTATAAAAAAGTTGTGTTATAGTGGTAATATATTAGTAAATGTTGAAAATAACTTTAAGATGCCTAATAAATGCTTTAAACGTATTTTCATTGCTAACCAATGTTAGCCAAATTGAACCTAATAACCGATTTTTGTTTAATCTAAACTATGCTGTCTGCATTTATTTTATACTCGTACTGTATGTCAACAATTGTGTAAGTTTTGTCCATTTTTTTATTTCTTCTTTAGCAGAACCTTAACTGAGAGCATTTCTTTAAGTCTTTAGTAAGCTAAAAATTAATTCAGCCAAAAATTAAAATTTTAGTTGTCCCAAACCTGTTTGAGTTTCTTTCTTCTGCTGAACAAAAGATATTTTAAGAATAATTGTAACCAAACAGTTGATGTAGCCATTGACTTCCATAGTAGAGACAAAAATGGAAGTGAGTCAATGGGTGTGTTCAGAAGAAAAATATCTTCTTCTGTTCAGCTGAAAGAAAGAAATTCATACCGGTTTGGAACAACTTGAGGATGACATCATTTTCTTTTTTGGGTGAACTAGGCAGGCTATCCCTTCAAGTGTTTCTGAACTGGTTTGGTTTATTGTAGGTGGTTTGATCTCTCTGTATTGGTTTTGCGTGTGTTCTAATAAAGAGGAACAGCATCTGGTAGGAGACAGCTGTCCTGGGTGAAGATATGATGTAATGTTCCCTGAAACTCATGCTTTGGCCTATGTGTTGGGACTCTTGAGGATTATGCTGTGTATACTGACCTACATTCATTTGCCTGAACATTTTTAATAAGCGATAGAGCAGTGTTTTAGACAAACACATCTCAGCGCAGATGGGTGACAGTAGTGTCAAGCACAGTAAGTACAGCCGACGGGATTCATCCGTGCGGTTTCTCTACCCTGTGGAGTTCTAGAGATGTAGTTGTAGTAGAGAGGTGTGTGATAGAGGAGAAACGGGTCAAATTTAACAGGCTTTGATTTGCATCTTGGTTTTGTGGTGACATTTTCTGTAAAGGCATGGCTATTAGGTGCAATTATTAGGAAAATGTAGGCTAAAACTGAGAAGTGAAATTTTGATACTGATCCTATTGCAAAAAAAACGTATTTTTCAAAAAGCCAACCTCATTCTTTTACTAAAATTACAGAGAACAATTTTGACAAACTTGAAAATATATATATATAAAAAATATATATGATAAATTAGGGATGGGCAACGATTAATCACTATTAATCGCATCCAAAATAAAAGTTTGTAAAAGAAAAATATGTTATTAATATATCAAATATTTATATTTAATATTAATTATGTATAAATATATATAGAGTATATACATGCAAATATTTCTTAAATATATACATGGATGTGTGTGTATATATATACAATTAATTATACACACCACACACACATATATTATGTAAACACAAACTTTTATTTTGGATGCGATTAATCACGATAAATCATTTCCCATCCCTATGATAAATCAAATAAGTTAGGTGTTGAAAAGGGAACTACTGATTCTATTAATCGCACAGCTATGGCACAACTGTTGGTGACTCAAATGGCCAAAAATTGGTCGAACATTGACCTGATCCATAGTTTGTGACAAACAGTTCAGTAGTTTCTGCCAAAGATCATCATGGCAACTAAAAGTACACTCTAAAATATGCTGGGTTGTTAACCCAATTTTGGGTGAAATATGGACAAACCCAGCTATTGGGTTACATTTTTAAATGACATTTTTAACCCAATGTTTGAGTTTGTCCATATTTCAGCATTTTTTTAGAGTGTACTATCAATTCGACTCTTAAACTGTCTATTAGCTGTGTCTGATACACAATTACCATGTCGTTGGACGTTTTGGGAATTGTCGGGTCCTAGAGCACCTGCTTAAATATGAATGTTTGCGATGTCTTTATCGACCTAGAACCACTACTTTCCATTTATTGCCCATTATAAAAGAGAAACGTTTCAGACTGCAGGACAGACAGTCTTCAGAGTCCCGGAGCAGCTGCGTCTCTTCCTCTACGGCCCCCGTCCCCCAGGAGGAGGCTGATGGAGGTGTACTGGGCACATGGGGCATGAGGAATGAAATGAGCCATACAGCTGGCAGCAGAAAGACTCCCGCACTCCGTCTCAATGTATCTGCCAGTGACTCGTGTGTGGCTCAGTGCATGTTATATGTCATATCATGTGAGAGGATGGCTGCTTAATGCATCAAGGAAGTGGAATAATTAGTGTGATTGAAGGGATGGCTGCGTGTTCCTCTTTCTTTGGTCCATTAGCCCCACTCCACCCCTTCATAATGTGGGTTATTTGTTTTCCTAGCAGCTCTCATCCACTTTAGCAAGCTCTTGAGACTCGTACAGCAAGCTTTTCCCTCCTCACTGTTAACCATGCCTGGACTGTTGGTCAATGTCCTGTAATCTGATGCTACTCTATAAAGTGTTTTTGTGTGGATGTCACATCTAAAATCTAAAAATGCATTTCCAACCTTTTCATGCTGCAAGTGTCACATTATCAGTTCAGTTTTTGTATAATGGCAAATAAAATATGAAATTTAATAAATAATAAATATGCATTTAAACCAGAAATGTGTTTTCTTTCTGTTTCTACTTGCTAACCAGTATCTCTTTTCTCTTTAATTTGTAGGCTGACCAGTTAACAGAGGAGCAGATCGCAGGTGAGAGTTCATGCTCATAATTGGATCACTTTGATATGCGTGTTTCGAAGCATACACTAAATACAACCACTGTTGTCTTATCTCAGAGTTCAAGGAGGCATTCTCCTTATTCGACAAGGATGGTGACGGCACCATCACGACCAAAGAGCTGGGCACAGTCATGCGGTCGTTGGGCCAGAACCCCACGGAGGCAGAGCTGCAGGACATGATCAATGAGGTGGACGCTGACGGTGAGTGGATTTTAAAAGTAAACTATGAATCAACATTGAATGCAATTGATCAACTGTTTCTTAATATCTCACCCACAAATTATGTTATTATCTACTCACCCTCGAGATGTTCCAAACTTGTATGACGTTCTTTCTTCCGATGAACACAGAAGAAGATATTTTGAAGAATGTGGGTAACTAAACCTTTGACGATAGCCATTGACTTCCATTGTGTTTTATCCATACTGTGCAAGTCAATGAGTGACATCAACTGTTTGGTTACCCACATTTTTCAAAATATCTTCTGTGTTCATCAGGAGAAGGAATGCATACAGGTTTGGGACATCTTGAGGGTGATTTTTTGGGTGAACTAACCCTTTGAAGGACACTCCCCCCAAACTCATAATGTTGTTGTGTCTGACTGCTCAGTCAAGCAGAGCATGATTGTTCAGGAAATCATCCTTCATATTTCAAATGGTTCACTTATAATTGGGTCAGTGACTCAACACTCTTTTTTTTAATCCTTTTCTTTTAATTTATTTAAAGAGATTACATTATAAATACAATTTATAAAGTTGCATCAAGTCAAAATATGATGCGACTGTCCTAATATCATAATGACAGAAAAAGTGTCAAAGTTTAACCTTATTAAATAGTTAGGCGAGATATTGTATTATTATTTCTTAGAAATGAAATGTATCAATAAAAACAGCTTATTATAAAAAACAAAATTATGTGCCCAATAAGTCATTTGGTTTTACCAACCTTCACAATCATGCAGTGAGGAAATCATAATGAAGCTCTCTGCAAACCAATTGAAATGTCACAAAAGCTCTACAAGAACTATTCATGTATTTAAAGGGATCATCGGATGCCCATTTTCCACAAGTTGGTATGATTCTTTAGGGTCTTCATGTAAAGTTTGTAACATACTTTGGTTAAAACTCCTCAATGGTTGTGTAAAACAACACACTTTTAACCTCCTCAAAACCAGCTCTGTTCACAGCGACCCGTTTCGGTGCATGTCTCTTTAAATGATGATGAGCCACTGCTGACCCCACCCCTCTCTTTCATGGGGCGTGCCGTGTCGACACAAGACCTGTAAAGTGATGCCTTGGCAGACAATATATAGTATAACGGCTGAGGGTGGAAATATGTTAATACGGGACAGTCCGTCTTCGGTCGTGGGCAGAGCATGAGCAGTATGACATCATATTGCTCAGAAAATCCAAACGGCTTGATTATTAAGAGTGTTTAGACTTTTTCAGAATTAAAAAAAAGGAGTGAATGGATTTTTTTTTTTCATTATATGGTGGTTGTCCACACATTGAAAACACATTTATATGCAAACACTAGGTAAAAGAGAATTTTGCATCCGATGACTCTTTTAAGGGAGTAGTTCACTTTCAAATGAAAAGTAGCTCATGATTTACCCACCGTCAAACCATCCTAGCCATATGACTTTCTTCTTTAAGACGAATACAATCAGAGTTATATTAAAGGAGTAGTTCACTTTAAAAAAAAAAAAAAAACTTTTGCTGATAATTTACTCACCCACGTGTAATCCAAGATGTCCATGTCTTTCTTTCTTCAGTCGAAAAGAAATTAATGTTTTTGATGAAAACATTCCAGAATTTTTATCCATATAATGGACTTTACTGGTAACCAAACGGTTCAAGGTCCAAAAGACAGTTTCAGTGCAAACTGCAAACTGTTCAAAGGGCTTTAAACGATTCCAGACGATGAATAAGGGTCTGATCAAGCGAAATGATCGCTCATTTAAAAAAACAAACTAAGTATTTAAGTTTTATAAGCTCAAATGTTTGCCTTGCTCTGTTCTGTGATGCGCGTTCGTGACTCTCCTGTTCAAACTTGATTATCAAAATGAACGAATCTTTTTTCGTGTCATTTGGTTCATTCAACGAACGAAATGAACGAGTTGACTCTGGAAAAGATTAGTCCATTTTGATGAACGAGTTGTGAGTAATGCGATGTACTGCTGATATTTACGCTACGCCATGACGCAATACATTACTTCTGACATCAAAAATATCGTAAGTTGCGCATTAAGGGCAAGTAGAGACTGTGTATGACCTTTCGGTCGGAAGCTATGTGAATATTTTTCTTATCCAAACTCATGGTTTTGCTTCTGAAGCCCTTTATTAACCCCCGTAGCCATTTGGAGTTAGTTTACGATGGATGGATGCACATTTTTGAGCTTCAATCTGTTGGTTGCAATCCCTTTTACTTTTTTCTTTATCATAGACATTCTTATTCGTCATTTACCCAGTTGTCTTTGCATTATTAAACTGGCATAGCACCCTACAACACCGTTCATCTTTAATGTAAAGCCACCGTTTAAAGGACTTTTTTTGTTATTGGAGTTAGTAGTGCCATTTAATCATCTACTCGTCGTTGTGACTCACTCAGCAAGGAGTGACACCAGAAAACTCTTCTATCAGCCTCCTGTCACAGACCTCTCAGACAGACAGACAGACAGACAGACGAGATGGTGTGGGAGGATCAGGAGGCTGCAAGACTTCTAAAGCCAGTCAGATTCGCGAGTCCTTTTCGATCAGCGAATCGATGGGCCTGTGGGATGCAGCGTGCCTTTCTCCTGCCGTGACATGATCTAGGTCAGACGGCAATAATGCGAGTAGTGGAAAATAAAAGTAATTGCATAATCCACTCTTTGCGTTCGTCATCTCATTCCCACACACTCATGCAACTCAGTTGCCGGGAAACCGTGGAAGAACTTATTTTGAGAATCGACAATGAAAGTGACCTGGAAACGGCTGATTTCAGCACAATCGTGTGTTGCTGAGTGGTTCTTCTAGTAATGAATTGCGTCCCCCTCCGGTGCCTTTGAAAGTCTGTGCTAATATGACTCAACATCCTGTGGCAATCAAAGGTCTTCCATTTTTATCTGCCATGCTAAGAATGTGGCTTGTTGCACACGTTTTCATTGAACACGAGTTTCACTCGTGCTATAATACGCCACACACCATTAAATCGCCATCTGCTGCAACCAACAGGACCATAGGTTTCAAACCAGAGTCAAAGTTCAATGTCTCTTGTAGGATGGCTAATACTAGACCAGTGGTTTCACACATCCAGTCAGTAATCCAGCCTGGTCTTTATTACCGCACACTTGACCTATTTCAGACCTCGATGAACGTTAGACATGGTTTAACTCTTTTACGGTCAAGCTGGGGCTAGTCCGTGCCAGCTGTAGGGATCTAGCCTCGTCTCTTATATCACAGTAACCCTCTCGGCTTTTATTATTCACCACAGCCCCTCGAGGACTATCATCTCCCACTAATCCAGAGTGAGTCACATGGTTTTTGATCTCTCTTAGCGAATCCCCACCTCCCAGTACTCTCATCTCTTTGATGGCTTGCTTGTAAACTGTGAGTGACCGCTAAGCGACACGGCTACGGTTTGCACTTCCAAGAGCTTTCCAAGCGAATGACCCTAAGATGGGGTTGAGGCGTCATCACCCAAAATCAAGATCTTTTAACTGCAATTTTACTTGGCTTTTACTGTTGTGACACTTCTATATGGAAGCCTTTTTTTGCCTGAGAGGTATTTGTGAGATGAATTTTAAAATAAGAAATAAAGTTGTTGTTGTAATTATGAGTAAAAGAAAAATGGTCAAGTTTATGAGAAACAAGTTCATTCAGAGTTGTTTTTAAAGTCGCATTTGTGAGATGTAAAGTCAGAATGACCTTATCCACCGTTTTTTAATATTAAACTGTTATTCCCTTAACTAAGACGAGTTGATGCATACCTCTCTCGTCTAAGTGCGTGCGCTCAATCGCTCTGGGGCGCGAGACACTTTGATAGCACTTAACTAGCCCAGTTCATTCAATATGGGCCAAGCAGAGAAGCGACCAAACACCTCCACGTTTTCCCCATTTAAATACAGTTACTTGAGTATTGTAACTCGACCAATGGTGACACAAAATAAAACGTTGTGCTTTTTTAAGCGTGTAAAATGGATAACTAGATTGTATGGCGGAATACCATAGCAAGTGCTTGGGAGCGCTTCGACTCGGCGCAGTAATATCATCACTCGTGAAAAGTCCTCTCCCTCTCTAGAGTGATATTACTACGCCGAGTCTATATATATATATGCGCCGAGTCGAAGTGCTCCCAACTTATTGCTATGGTATTCCGCCAATTTAATTTATAGATAATTTAATTTAATTTAAGTTTGAAGCTGAATAGATACTGTACACACCCAGGTATCGGATCGGTACTCGGTATCGGCCGATACCCTGAGTCCAGGTATCGGGAAGAGAAAAAGGGTATCGGAACATCTCTAGTTCTTGTTCTTGGTGTGAATGGGCCTTGACTCTAAGAGATATAATAATAAATCACTTCCGCCTCGGAGTATTTGAGGTTAACGTTCCTGTCAATACTTCTGTTTTCACTCGAATTTCACTTCCCTTTTTCTTAGGAAATGGAACCATAGATTTCCCAGAGTTCTTGACGATGATGGCCAGAAAAATGAAGGACACAGACAGCGAGGAAGAGATTCGCGAGGCGTTTCGGGTATTTGACAAGGTATGTTTGAGCTGTAACTACTTTATTTGGCTTTAGTTTGTTTATTACTGACAAAATCAACTTGAATTTCAGAGTCACGGCAGTGAGGCCAGAGTTTTCCCGCCCTTTTTGTGACTTCTATTGTCTTATTTTTTTCCAGGACGGTAATGGCTACATCAGTGCTGCAGAGTTGCGTCATGTCATGACAAACCTCGGCGAGAAGCTGACAGATGAAGAGGTGGATGAGATGATCAGAGAAGCCGACATAGATGGTGATGGTCAGGTGAACTATGAAGGTATGTTGCTTGCCTCTCAACGCTAACTGTGTTTCCTACAACATTCCTTTTTTTTTAGTCATATGTTGTTTGACTGTTAAAAATGAGTAAATAAACAAATAGTCCCAGTCCTTGATTCCAATTGGTTGAGCCACTTTTGAAACCGTTGTAAATTAGTCTACGCTCAACTGTGATCTCATTACCTCATGATTTCTTAATGATTCAATCAGAGAACTTGAAATTCATTTCAAATCTCATCTGTGGTGTTTACTTTATTCATCTCCATGTTGGAATGATCACAATATCTTTAAGTTATCTGCGTCGAAAATGGCTCATATTTCCCAGAATGCACCACAATCGTACAGAGCACATGTGAAAGGGCTTGCTGAAATCGTAGCCTCTTGATTAGACTCGTATGAAAGCTATTTGGAAATGGGACGCTAATCACCGTGTGAATTCTACCTTCACCTCTTGATTAAAAAATTAATAAGCCATCGAACAATTTGGCAGCTGGGCGCGCAGCGCGGCATTCGACCAAAAGCAACTGCCTAATCTCATTTTCTCTCCATTTCTCCTCTCAGAATTTGTACAGATGATGACCGCAAAGTGAAGCCGCCTCCTTCTGCCGTGCCCTCTTAGAAGAGAAAAAAAAATCAGTCAAATGTTTTACTTACCTCTTGGGAAAAAAAAAATGTTTATTTATTCATAATGTTTCTGTTTAAAGATAATAATAATTGAATGTTAAAATAAAGTATCCTTCTGTCCACACAGAAAATAATGGAAAAAAGTCAAATATCTGCATGAAATGGTTAGTGATCATGTCCCCAAAGATCAGTCTAGCATCAGTTATTCAAGAGAAAAATATCCTGTAACCAACTTCAAACTGAAGAGAAACAGCATTTGGTGAACTCCTTAAGTTCCATCTGCTCTTGATAATGTTTGGGCTGGCCATCCTCCTTTTGTTCTCTAGTTTTTTTTGTTTTTTCTTCTGTTCTTCATGCATGCAGCTTGAGCCCGGAGCTCGTTCTCCAGCCAATCAGAGCGTGCTGAGTCCACTGAAGTGTTGTATTGTGTTTTTTTTTTTTCTTTTGTAATTTAAGAGGAACCAGAAGTAGGGAGAAAGCTTGTAAATTCAAGTTCCGAGTGGAATGGGGCTTTAAGGTATTGCTGAGGATAAACAGCTAAAATCAAAAAACTAAAAAGGAAAAAAAAAACATTTCGAAAAGTTTTGGCATGATTTTATTTTTAGTTTTTTTTTTTTTTAGTTTTTTTCAATCACATTTGTTTTTGTTTCAATGACTTTCTTTCACTGGACGGCCGTCTCTGTGGTGTCTCACCATGATGGAGATGATGGAGGAATGTTCGACATGGATGGAGGACTGTCTGATCCTTCACTTTTCTGTCCTGTTTCTTAACTCCTGAACGGTGAATTCTCCCCTGCATCTCTTCTGCTGCGGGAGTTCGCACTCCACTCTTCAGTTTGCATTCATTCCAAGTTGTACATGCTACTGTTTTAATATTTTCTTCGAATAAAGTGACCATGTACTTTACGACTCCCGCTCTGCTCCTTATGAAAGCGTCCTGTGTCCGTTGAGCGAAGTAAGCTCCAGGTTTTCTCTGACATCCATCCCATTTGAGCTCAAGTAGATCAGTGACCGCACCATACCACCTGTGTTCCAGCTAAATTACAGCTTCCTGTTGAGACGAAGCCATCAAACATTTAATAACCCGATCATCTAGCTTCCCTTCCAGTTTTCTCCTTTCCTCAAGTGTCATTTTACACCTCAGTTTTCTCAACTTCACATATGTATGCAAATATAGACACAATTCTCTTGAGAATTGACCTGCTTAATGCAAAGCTCCTAATCTTTACTGCCGCCCACCCAAGAAGCAGGAGACAGTCTCACTCGCCAAACCCACACATTTTGACATCTGAGCTGCCCTGGGGTTAAATTAGGAGTATCAATATTTCACGTGAAAATGAGGCAGGATGTTGCCGTACCAGTAAGAAGAGAGCAGGATTTACCACCCTTCCCCCCCCCTCCACACCTCCTCTCAACCATCAACAACACAGACTCATATTACACAACACAACGGAGAGACCGTCTCCTGCATGCTACAAATAAAAAATTAATTACAATTTTACAGGACAACTGTCAAGTTAAATGAAAAAAAAAAATAGCATTTCGAATGAATTGTATTTTATGTGTTTAACTACATTTTTAAATTCGAAGTAGTGTGTACGTTCTAAATTGGGCGGGTGCTCGGTCAAAATATTTATAATTTAAAAAAAAAAAAAAACGCACACTGCTTTATCTGCTCCCATTTAACTGAAATAAATGTCCTTTTTTGATTCATAACATTTGTTCTTACATGAGACACCACAAGCCTGTTTCCTGCAGCGGTGTGTCCAGATCAGACAACACTTTGCAACACTTGTTTGTGCAAACTATGTGCAACATCACTTGATGAAATATCACTGTAACCTTTATCAGCTGTTTTTTTGCTATGGCTTCCTCCTGTATTTCTGAAGGTTTCTATTGCAAAACTAGCCCCTTTTTTTCCTGTATTATGACACCAATTTGACATGGGAGTTCTCATATAAACTGTAAACCTGAATAAGTTGGCAAAACTCCTTTAAACATTTAGGCAATCAGTTACATTAAATTGTTTATGTTAAGAAATTAACTAATTCAAAGTTTAAAGGGTCATTCCACCTCTGGAAAGATGATTGTGTATTTAAAATTGGTAATTTATGTAGAAGAAATGTGAAATTATTTTTTTAATTTGGAGCTTTCTAGACTGAGAAAAGACAGAAAATGTATTTTTGGCTTATGTGGATGAAAGACAACAACTCCCAGAATGCATTTGCTTCGCTGCCCTAGGAGGCCACGCCTACCGCTAACCTTGCAGTAGGTAAACAACAAGTCTACTAGTGATTCTCCGTGATAAGTCCGGATAAGTCTGTCCGAAAATGTGTATCAAGATTGCCCAAAATGTCCGGGATTCGGCTTTTGCGTTCTACAGTCGCCATTCATCATGTTTACTGTTGCGAGCGGGACGAGTGAGGCCCGTTTCACACATACTCCGTTTCCAGTGCGTATGCGGTCCGTATTTTTTCCGTACCCATGTTAACAGGTAATTAGAGCTTTCACACTGCACGCGGATGCAGTCCGTCGGTCCGTTCCAGTTGCGGTGCGTATACAGCAGTGCAGAGATCGTTTCCGCACCGAGTCTATTTCTGCTGTGCTGCAAACGTAGAAATAAAGTGACAGCGCTCGGTTCGTGGTCAAAATGAACTCAGATTGACCTCGAAATGTAGTAGTTTCACCATAAATGCATTTAATTCAATAAAATGTTGTAATCTCTCCATAAAACGTATTTAATTGTTTTATATTTTTACTTTAAGACATTACTTTTTAATTTATATAAAAGTAATGCATGGAATTGTATGCATTCGTTGTTTAAATTGTGTGAAAACGTGCATTATGCGTCCATTCAAATTTGTAAAAGTGTACAAAGAGAATCGCAAACCTGGCAAAACTTTTATTTTAACAAAAGTTGCTGCATATGGTGAACATTTTGATTACCAAAAACCAGGACACATGGCCCAGCAAACAAATGATACTCGAAGATTACTCAAAGATGCCTTATTAATTTCAATACAATTAAAATAGGCTATGCCCCCTCTGTGGATAGAAAATTGTAGACACAAATTGAGATAGGCTTCACAGAGGATACTCAACATGTTTTATGACAGGTTTAAAAAATAATGAATGAAATAACGATTAAAAAAATAATGTCTCATCTGTATTAGAAATATAAATATATAAATAGCCTATTAATTAACTAAAAGAAATACCTTCAAATTGAACAAAAATACCTCTCAAATTTACAAAAACTAGTACTAGTTTTCTTCCCCTTTATCCTGTTTTTCTTCCTCATCCTCCTTGTTTGCCCATCTTATATATATTTTGCTGTAACCTATCTTTCACAGCGTTTTTTTTTTTTTTTAAACCAGGACAGCTTTATAAAAAAAACGGCCAGGACAGGGCGTGAAAACAGGACATGTCCTGGGATAACAGGACTGTTGGTCACTGGTCACCCTTTTGCTGCATAACTTCTGATTTTGAAATAAAAATAGTGAGTGTTTGTGGTACAGCTCACGCACTGCAAACGCAGTATATAAAAGCACTTTAGCGCGTGCTGCTCCTTTACCGGATACGCACCGCAACACTCACCGCAAACGCACTGCACACGGAGTATGTGTGAAACGGGCGTGAGAGCTGTGTGGAGAACGACGCGAGGGCGGTGGCGTGATTACCGATGAGCGGCACCTGGGACGTAAGTACCGGTCTCGTATCTCTCATGGAGGAGCAGGAATTTTCTTAGCAATGTTAAATTGCTTATCACCACTTGTTTGGCGTCCATGTAAACGCTATTCAGATTCACAAAAGCTGTTACTTACATGTAAACAATTCATCGCGACTGCAGAAATTAAAAGATGAATCCCGGACATCGATGGCCGCATGTCCAGGAAAAAGAGGACGTGCTACAAGCTACTCGTAAGTTAAAGTAGTTAAACTACAATACCCTTTTGGAAAAGTATTAGCTACACTACAAGTTACTATCAAAAAGTAGCTACATTGAAACTACTTTTGCTTTTTGAACAACGTATATTATAAATAACTGAATAAGTGTTTGAGGAATGTTTTAAGTAAAATATTAAGTTTTTATAACAATGCAATACAATTATGATTTCAAAGAGTATTGTTTTATTACACACAACACTCAAATATCTCAGACTGTTTGTCAAAAGTGCAAAATTGGAACAAATAGCCTACAACATTGCAAGAACAAAATACATCCAGCGTAAATTGCATGTAGAACATTTTATCAAAAATACCATTTGAATTTGGACAAATAAGGCAATGGGTAATTAACATTAGTTGTTTCTCCATCCTCCAACTCTGCCATCACGTCTTGCTCCATCATGGATAATCATAATATGGGTGTGCCAACCCTCTTCTGTATGTTAGTGAACCGTTAGCCGCAAGATGCGTGATTAAACAACAGGTGGTGGTAATGCCAAAAAATGAGTTTGTAATCTAACAAGAAGAATATCCTTGCATCGTTGGCTCGACAAACGCGATGTAGCTTTTGCTTGCGCTACACCACTACTTGCTGCAAAAAGTAGTTAGCTACTGGCTAAGTTACACTGTTTATAAAGCAACTGAGCTACTGCCAAGCTACTGAAAAATGTAGTTAAGTTAGTAGTGTCGCTACTTGTAGTTAACTACTCCCCAACACTGCCCCTACTACTCAGCTTTCTCCACAGAACAAGAGCCTGCTAGCTTAGCGTCCAAAAAAGATGTGTAATCCCAATCCTCCATAATGCATCCGTCTGCGTATTCAATACCTTCATCCATATTTTCAAAAAGTTTCTGCCTGTGAAATCAAACGCACTGGCACTGATCTGTGATAGGTCTGTTAGCGCATTAGGTCCAACCCCCTATGGGTGGGTTTGAAAGGGTGAGATCTTGTGCTTGTAGTTTTTCCAGAAATCCCCATCTCTTACACTTCCTCCTACAATAATGTACAATGCGTCATTGTAGGAGGAAGTGAAAAAGGTAAATAGCAGATTTCTATAATCTCAGGGGAAAATGAGAGAGTGTTTCACGACCATTCAATA